TACAAGAAGCCAGAGGGGCTCCCAGAGGACCAGCGAAGAGGGTCCTTGGCTTTGCCCAGGATGGAAATCAAACATGAGCCTAGAGGAAGTGAGAGGTGAGTTTATTGAAGATATAGAGAGAGAGCAAATTCAGAGAGAGAGTCTGAGAAACTTATAAGGAAGGTAGGGGCATAGTTCCTAGCAAAAAATGAAGCAGGAAATGGAGCAAAAATGCAGTTTTTTCATGGGGTCCCTTCAGTTTCCCTGTCTAGATCTATTCTTCCACATGCCTTAATATATGTCCTCCTTGTAAAGGTCAAGGAGTTAATTATTTCTTTGGAGTCTTCCAGTACAACAAATAACATCTAAGGAACGACTGGGTAAGGTTGTCATGAACGTTTTCCAAGACCACTGACTCCAGGGCCTCAGTGACTTAACTCATCCTTGTTTTGACCAATTCCTGGATGCCTGAGGGGACACATGTACAAGACCATCATCCTCAGCAAAAACCTCAAGCCCATTCCTTTCTGAGTCTCCCAGACTCTTTGTCTGAAGCTGCTCTCTCTTTCTTCAACAAAGTCTGCTCTCCCATCCTCTCCATTCACATTTGATTTCCATCCTGGGAGAAGCCAACGACCCTCTTTGCTAGTCCTGTGGGACCCTCTCTGGGTCCTTGGACTCAGCCAACCTGCATCGAAAGGGCCAGATGTCCTCTGTGTCCCTTCAGTGGTTGTACACTGAAAGTGCTTTAGCCACTTCATTTGTGTGCCCAGAGCTTAAGAAACAAAATTTGAGTGATACAGAGCTCTACCCTCAAAGAAGTCCTACTCTGTTAGACTTGATTTGGACACTTCATCAAGTTTTACAGGCTGAAAATTTGCTTAATCTGATGCTACTAATGTCCTGTCTTTTAGTTTCTTAAGCACATAACATATTCCCAAGGAATAATCTTAAGCACTAAGAAAATCTGGTTTTAGGGGCGCCTGGGTGGCTTTGTTGGTTAAGTGTCTGACTTCAGCTCAGGTCATGATCTCACAGTTTGTGGGTTGGAGCCCCATGTCAGGCTCTGTGCTGACAGTTCAGAGCCTGGACGCTGCTTTAGATTCTGTGTCTCCCTCTCTCTCTCTGCCCCTCCATGCTTGTGGTCTGTTTCCTTCTCGCAAAGATAAACATTCAAGCAGTTAAAAAAAAAAAAAGAAAATCCGGTTTAGAATCATACATCTCCTTTTGTTGTGGGGTTGTTGAGCACAATGGCCAAGAAATTCTTGACATGTTATGTGGTGCAACTTAGTAAGTTTATTTAAGTAGCATAGGACAGGACCCCTATGCAGAAAAAGCTGCAGTTTCTGCTGTATGAAGCTGGTGGTTATATGCTTAATGCTCAAGGAAGAGGGAACATGTAGGAAGTATTATAAACATTTCTTCAAATTTTTACTCATAAAACTGCTTTCAGGGGTGCCTGGGTGGCTCAGTCAGTTAAGCATCTGACTTCGGCTCAGGTCATGATCTCACGGTTAGTGGGTTCAAGCCCCATGTCGGGCTCTGTGCTGACAGGTAGCTCAGAGCCTGGAGCCTGTTTCCGATTCTGTATCTCCCTCTCTGACCCTTCCCTGTTCACGCTGTCTCTCTCTCTCTCTCAGAAATAAATAAAAAACGTTAAAAACTGCTTTCACAAGATTTCTCTGGTGCTTATCATTCAGTTTGATATTAAATATCGGTGAGGTATACAGGCTGTCTTGAGACCCTTTAAGGATGTAGCAACCAGCACGTATTTAATCCTTATCAAAACTGTGTAGGCATGGCACCTGGATGGCCCAGTCATTTGAGCATGTGACTTTAGCTTAGGTCATGATCTTGCAATCACGAGTTTAAGCCCTGGGTCAGGCTCTGTGCTGACTGACAGCTCAGAGCCTAGAGCCTGCTTGGGATTCTATGTTTCCCTCTCACTCTGCCCCTCCCCTGCTCACACTCTGTCTCTCTCTCTCTCAAAAATAAATAAAAATATTAAAAAAAAAAAAAACTAGGCAAGCTATAGGTCAGCCTTCTGGGCTAAAGGTGAACCCTTTCTGCTTCTATCCCTCATCACTTGCTGACATACTGTTTGGTGTTTGTCAGATTTACTTTTATTTGGCTGCAAGATCTCTAATAGAAGCTTATGTATTATGGCTAGAAATCTTTTTAATTTTTTCAAAATTTATTTATTTATTAAATAAAAATGTGAATTTATTTAGTTTAAGGCCAAGTTTGGTTGGGAGAGCTTTATAATAATTGTTTTGGCAATAGAATCCAAGCAGAAATCAAGACTGCTTTTGTATTGAGTTCACGTAAAATTATACTTGCACATGATTAAAACTTGAAAGTGCCTGGATTGGGGTAAACTGTGGAAAATGGCATAAAATGGCAAAATGAAAGATTTGAAAGTTTCTGCTAATGATAAAATTTGTTAATTTATAAGTTAGTGTTCAACTATTCATCATATACAAAAGAAAGAACTCTTGTGACTTCCTCCTCTTTGGGATATTCGAATATCCCAATATTTCCTAAATAATGCTTTCCCACAAATCCCCGTTATGCGTAAAGATTGGGAGGCTGATGGTGGGACAAATCCTGCTAGGTGAATGCTATACAATTATTCTTGACAGAAATTAAGTCCTTTGAAAATAATAATCAGTGGCAGTTTAGACAGAAATGGGGAAAAGGGGAAACCAAAAGTCTGAGAGGGGTGTGAAGGGGGAAGAGTTTTTGTCAAGAATTTCTGTGTTGTTTCTCAGTATGAGTTTTTCCTTTTCCCCACTTGCACCCATGCACCGTCCTCCTTGACAGAGCTCAGAAATCCCAAACCCAGTCTAACTGGAGACTTGACTGTAGGTCTTAAAGTCAGGGCCCTTCCAAAAGTTGAGTATATCTCTCCAGGTGTATTTCATTTGCTGCTATTGGAAAGGTGAAAAGTATAACCTCTCACCCCAAAGCAGTTAGCTTAGCTGACAGCATTAAATGAAAATGAGGAAATGGAAAATTCTAATTTCTGGCATTTGAAGTAGATAGTTTTGGTTCTGAAATTTGGTGAATAAATTTAATTTTTATGGATTATTTTACATCTTAATGAAAATCCCCAGTGATGGGTATACTTATGACTCTACCTAGACACTTCACTGGGCTGACATATTTCCTGATTTAATTTTATCCAAGACTTGGTGTCAATGATTTTCTTGGTTCCTTAACTCAGACAAATTAGTCAAGGGCATTTACTACTTAAATTGCCTGATGTTGCCCTTATTCTGCTTCCCTGGAAGAGATAAGGGCTGGGTTTGTTTTGTTCTGGGGAGGTGACTGGTTCTTAGTGGCATAATGAATTCACCAATCTCACTTTCAGTCTTAAAACCAGAATGCTGGAACAGCTTACCTCTCCCACTCCCATTTTAATCAGCAATTTAAAAAAATATTATAACAGTATTCAAGCATACAGTAAGGAGAATCGTGTAATTAGCTCCCATGTATCCAGCCTTCAGCTTCAATAATTATCAACACTTCTAGGCAGTTTTCTGAACAGAAAGTACAGTGCCGTGAAAGCTTCAATTCTTGATCAGTATTCAGCTTTTGTCTTTCAAATTTTGGTTCCTGGGACTTTGGACCTTGCAATTATATTAAAAGAAGCTTAAGGAATTTAGTGTTTAATAGTCATTGAAATCTTTTTCAGTTCGCCTCCCCCTCAGGGAATGCCGCCTTAGTGTGCAAGGCGAAAATTTGAAGATACTCCTTGTATTTAGGAGATGCTTATCACAGGACGGATCAATATCCCAATTTTCCTTTAGGAGACCGGCTTAAAAACGAAGTTGGACAACGTATGGGCATCTAGTCAGTTCCTACCCTGCCTCAATGCTATTTTCTAAATATTTACAGAGAATAAATTTACACAATAGTTTCCTGGTTACACTCTGGAGAGTATCTCCGTTACTTTCTTCCACTTCCATTTTACACATCCCGTTGGGAATAAGTGTCAGTCTTTCTGAGTTTCAGGGGCTTGTACTGACTGGTTTCTAACCAGAAGCGTCAAGGGCCCCTTGTAAGGCAAGTAGGGCCTCGTGGGGAAAGAGAAATTGCTGACCCACAAAAAGCGGAACGAACCATAAGCCTGGCGCTCGCCCACCTAGGTGCGTCGAAAAGCTAGAGCTTGGGGGGTGGGGGCGGGGAAACTTGGGGAGGACCCCATTCCCCAATTTATTCCTCACTGGTCGCCTCTATTGAAATCTTGGCTCTTGGTATATAAGAAGGTGCAGGAGAGACTTTAACCCGCAGCGGAGAGGATAGGAATCCAGCGTGTAATGCTTCAGCCTTCAGTTCGGGGGTTCCTGTTTCCTTAAGCTTCGAAGGCGTGGTCATTCATGGTCCTGATCCCGCCGCTCGCCGCCTCCTCCCCGCGGTTCCTCTGAGAGTTCCGCCCGCTTCGCCTGCGTTGGAGGGCGGTTCTGTGGGTCTGAGCGCCCGGAACTAGACGCTCCGCTGTCAAATAGTGGAGAGAGAAGCCCAAACGAGCTCAGCCCCAATTACGAGCAGTCTTCAGGCAGAGGATGTGGAAGTTAAGTCGAAGGCCTTCTTAGGGCGTTGTCCTTAGACACAGGGTTCAAGGGAAGATGTGTTAGTTTCTCACCGCGTCTTCCTCGCTCCGCGCCGGCTGCCGGACTTCGAGGAGAGACCCAGCTAGAAGGGAATGGAGACCGCCCCTCCCTAGCCCGAGTAGTTTACCTCGTCTCTGCACCCCTAGGCGGCGCTGCGCTCCTCTGCACCGACCGCTCCGCTTTCCCAGACGGCTGCCAAGCCTCCAGTCCCGCGAGTTTAGCTTTCAGCCCTCCAGCCCCGGGCAATTCCAGTATATTCAAGAGGCAGAAAGTCGGCGGTCTGTGCACCTCAAGCCCGCTTCGGTGGCCGCCCGGCTCCTGTTCTTTACCACGGTTCATGCTCTCTGGGAGTCCGGAGCATGGTCCTGGGTCACTGTTGGTGGAGCGAGGACGCCAAGAGGGAGGATGGTGGGCTGGAGGGTGGCGGTTCTATGTCTGTGGGTCTCCTGCGGCTTTGCCGCCAGACAGCTGGAACACTTGGTGTTGGAGGAGACCGAGCGGGGCGTAGCCGTAAGTAATGTTTCCGCGGACTTGGGGCTGTCAGCGGCCGCTCTTTTCGTTGAGGAACTTTCGCTTCCTCTCCAGCCACCGCGAGCCCTACTTTGGGGTGGATCTGGCCAGTGGTAGCTTGGTCGTCCGAGAGCCGGCTGATCGCGAACGGCTGTGGGGGAATAAAGCTGCCTGCGTCTTGACCTATGAGCTGGTGCTCGAAGACCCGCTGGAGCTACACAAGATGCGAGTTCACGTCGTGGACACCAACGACAACTCGCCTCTCTTCCCTGCTGGCGACGTGCAGCTGCACATCCCCGAGTTCCTGTTGCCTGGAGCCCGCTTTACTCTCCCTAATGCCCTAGATGCGGACGAAGGAAGCAACGGGGTCCTGACCTACACCCTGAGCCCCAGCCAGCATTTTCACCTGATCGTGGAGTCACGGGTCGACGGCAGTGCATATCCGGAATTGCTATTAGAGAAAGCGCTGGATCGGGAGCAGAGCGCCACCCACCAGCTGGTGCTTACAGCTAGGGACGGCGGGCAGCCCGCGCGCTCCGGAGACGCACAAGTTACCATCATAGTAGTGGACACAAATGACAATGCGCCTGTATTTGAGCGAACAGTATACCGCGCCAAGGTACCAGAGACTGCCCCGAACGGGACTTTGTTATTACGAGTTAAGGCCTCGGACCCGGACGAAGGCTCCAATGGGGAAATTCGGTACTCCTTAAGCAATAGCACGCTGGTGGGGCTGCGACACTACTTTCACGTGCACCCTGGAAATGGGGAAGTGCGGGTAGCTGCTTCCCTAGGTCCGCCTGAAACGTTGTTGGAAGCTTACATTGAGGCTAGGGATGAAGGCACCTTCGGTCTAGCTAGTACTGTCAAACTGCTGGTGGAAGTGACAGATGTGAATGATCATGCCCCAGAGGTGAACGTCCTGACTCTATCCAGTTCAGTTTCTGAGGATGCAGCCCCTGGCACAGTGATTGCTCTCCTCAGCCTAAAGGATGAGGACCTCGGTCCCAATGGTAAAGTCTTTTGTAGCATGTCCAGTGGAGGCCCTTTTAAGCTGAAGGCTTCTTTTGACAACTACTACAGCTTGCTGACTGATGGGCGGCTGGACCGAGAGCAGGTCAGCGAATACCAGGTCCTGTTCACTGCCTCAGATGGTGGCTCACCCCCACTGAGCACCCGCAAAGTTCTGACTGTGTCTGTTGCTGATGTGAACGACAATTCACCAGGTTTTGCTCAACCACAACAGGAACTTTTTGTGGCTGAAAACAATGGTCCTGGAGCCTCTTTAGGCCGTGTGTTTGCCCAGGATCCTGACCTGTGGAAAAATGGCCTTGTCTTCTATGAGCTGTTGGATATTATCTCTGAAAGGCAGACAGGCTCTAGCTTGGTGGCAGTAGAACCATCCAGTGGGGCTATCACTGCCAAAACTTCCTTTGACTTTGAGCAGATCAGGGGGTTTCACTTCCAAGTGGAAGCCCGGGATGATGGCATTCCTCCCAGGAGTGCAACAGTGACTGTGAACTTGTTTGTGGGAGATAGGAATGACAATGCTCCAGTCATCCTGTTTCCCTTGCCCAGAAATGGTTCTGTTCCAGTGGAAATTGTGCCCCGCTCTGCCAGAACTGGACTCTTGGTCACAAAAGTGGTAGCAGAGGATGCAGACAGTGGCTCTAATGCTTGGCTTTCATACCGTATTTTTCACGCTTCTGACGCTAGCCTTTTCAGAATTTCAGCCAATATGGGAGAACTCCGTACTGCCCGCTTAATTCTTCCCGCTGATGCAGTTAAACAGAGGGTGGTGGTAGTGGTTCAGGACCATGGAGACCCCCCACTTTCCTCTTCTGTCACACTGGGTATACTGTTGAGCAACTTTGCCCCTCAGGTCCTTCCAGACTTGGAAGATACCTGGGAAACAGAAGGCCACCTTTCCACCCAGAACCTGTACTAGTAATTGCCCTGGCCTCTATTTCCTTTTTATTTCTGGGGTGCTTACTTTTCTTTGTGTGTTTCAAGGTGAGCCAGAGCCCAGTTTGTTGTTCTCAAAGCTGTTGTCACTCTTCAGAAGAGCTGAGGCATGGGAGGAAGATGGCTTCAAATCCTTGTATGACATCAGCCATAATAGATGTCACTACAGTTGAGAGACTTTTTCAGACCTATCTCTATCGGGCCTCTCTAGGACTTGGTTCTGATAATAACAGTTTGCTGTTGCGTGGGGAATACAGTGCTGCTGACCTGAGAGATCTGGCTACTGAGGCAGGACTGAATTTGCCAGTATCCTGCATTCACATTCGGAATAAGAAAGGGGATCACGTAAATGTCAATGCTATGGTAAGCAAATTTGGGGGGATTTGATTCCCTTGCCCAGGAGATGGCTGCTAGCTATGTTCTGACATGCTTCTTAGATGAGCCTTTGGCAGCCTTTAATCCACTGAATTGAACACTCCTGATTAGCACCCACTGTGCTAAGAATTCTGGAGTATAAAAGTATTAAAAGACTGTCCTTGGCCTCAAGGAGTGTATAGTTTATTTTTGAGAAACCAGGGTAAGAAATTCAAGCCTGTTAAAGAACAATAAAAGTAATATAGTATAAAGGACTAAAATTAGAAATAAGGCACCAAAGTTTTTGGTACAGACAATAAATGACTTGGGGTGGCTTTAGTTCCTTTTAGAAATTTAAGGACTTATTTAAAGCATAAATCCCTTCATTAAAAAAAAACATTTTGAACAACTGATATGTGTAAGGCATTTTAAAAAATCTTTATTTATTTATTTTGAGACACAGAGAGAGAGACGCAGAGGGAGAGAGGGAGAGGGAGAGAGAGAATCCCAAGCAGGGTTGGTGCTGTCAGCAGAGAGCCCAACATGGGGCTCAGTCTCACAAACGCTAAGATCATGACTTGAGCCAAGATCAAGAGTCAGATGCTTAATGGATTGAGCCACCCAGGTGCTCCAGATAGTGTAAGGCATTCTGATACCAAAAGTGAGAATTAAAAATATTCAAGAGTCTTTGCATAACATAAGAATAATATCATAGAAGATGAGACATTTGTCCAAACCATTACAATACATGATTTAACAATGATTACCTAAAAAATGTAAAAGTAAATTGCAGTGTGTGTTTAAAGGGAGAGAGAGACCATGAGTGAACACCTGGGAAGGGAGGTGGAAGAAGTCAGAAAAGGCATCGTGGTAAAGGTGGCATTTGAATTCGATCTTGAATGATACACCATTTAAAAAAATGCAACACATTTTCTAGGTCATACTTTAAATAAATGCCATTTTGGCATAGTAGTCTTTTTTGAGAATGACACTCTGAAACATAGCTAATAATAGCTCCACACAGTGTTTGTAAGTATATGGAAATTATAAGCATAGGTCTCACTCAGAATACCTATTTGTACTGATAGAAGATAAAACCATTGGATACAGGACTTGACAACCTATTTTATGTTTTTATTGATATATTTCACAAAGAAGAAAGAGTGGTAATTGTTTTTAAGACTTTTAATTCCAGGGGCGCCTGGGTGGCTCAGTCGGTTAAGCGTCTGACTTCAGCTCAGGTCATGATCTCATGGTTTGCGGGTTCAAGCCCCGCATCAGGCTCTGTGCTGACAGCTAGTTCCGAGCCTGGAGCCTGCTTTGGATTTTGTGTCTTCCTCTCTCTCTCTGACCCTCCCCTGCTCATGCTGTCTCTCTCTCTCTCTCAAAAATAAATAAAATATTTAAAAAATTTAATTCCAGTGTAGTTAATATACAGTGTCATATTTGTTTCAGGTGTACAATATAGTGATTCCACAATTCCATTTATTATTCAGTGTTTGAAAGAGGAGTAATTGTTATGTCAGAAACAGTTGTGTGTTCAAGGTACACTTGCCATTCAAAGTCCATTCAACTTGGATTTAATATTCTTATTATTTTAGAAGCCAATATACTTTAAAATAAGTAAATACTATTTTGAGAGTAATACATCTAATAAAAGTTAAATTATTAAAATACTTAAATTTATCCATAGTGGCCCTTTGCATTTCAAAAACTTTTCGAATAGAGGGGCGCCTGGGTGGCTTAGTCGGTTAAGCGTCCGACTTTCACTTAGGTCATGATCTCGCGGTTCGTGGGTTCGAGCCCCGCTTCGGGCTCTGTGCTGACTGCCAGCTCAGAGTCTGGAGCCTGTTTCAGTCTGTGACTCCCTCTCTCTCTGACCCTCCCCTGCTCACGCTGTCTCTCTCTCTCTCTCTCTTCTATAAATAAATAAAAACATTAAAAAAAATTTTTTTTCAAAAACTTTTCGAATAGAGTGAGGACAGTCTTCACCAATTTTACAGTATTACTTTCTGACTTTTCATAGAGATCATTGATAAAAGGGAAGGAGGAGAAATTAGGGAAAGGAATGATCTTGTTTTATGATTCCAGGTAATAGGGAAAAGTAAGTTATAAGTCACTCGCCTGCAAATGATGATGTTAACTGAAAATAAAATAGATTTACATGCATTATAATTTTGCATATTTTATATATCTCACATGACATAATAGAATCCAATATATAAGATATGATTAGTAAATGCTTGCTGAATGAAAGAATAAATACATTTGCGAATGTACGAATTGGGTGTTAATGTAGATGGAAGAATTCAATATTGAGAACAAAGATTTAACTTACTTTTCCACTTTACATGTATGTATGTTTAAAAGTTTAAAGGTATCCTTCAAATATATTATTTCAATGGTTATTTTCTTCCTCATGTAGAGTAGTGAAACATTAACAGTAGGATTTTCTGGCCCTAGAGCTAGCATTAAAAACCTCGGTGTTGTGTTCTGACACTAAATATGACCACAGTTCCTATAGATAACAAAGTAACTAATAGGGATATACATCTTTACACTGTGAAAGTTGCAGCAGATGCAAATTAAAATGTAGTTAATTTTAAGAGAGAAAATTTGTGCACTATAATGTTAATATTTCACATATCAAAGCACTTAATGTATAAACTCTCTTCCTATCAGAAAATTCATCATTTATTTCTTTTATTTCACTGTTTTCTATAACAAATAGAGATGAGAATATGAAGTTTGGGAATCTGAATGTTTGGGAGTTGGATATTGTTTGAGAAACACATTTTGAGGAGACTTGAAAGGAAATGGATCTGGAAGTTGGAAAATTATTTAAAAGGAGAACTATGGCTAATAATCTATATTATTAGGAAATATCCCTTGCCACTGAATTTTTAACTTATATGAATGACAGTAACAAAGATATACAATTCACAGGAACACTGTGCCATCCCATTTGTTTACCTGCACAATCTTTTTCCATCAATGTTGATATTTCAAGTTGTAGGTAATCCATCGCGTGCTAATAATTTTTGTGTACTAGATATTTCCTTATATATAAAGAAAGTATGATGTATAAGAACATGAATAAAATAACTTACAGGAAGCTGGAGTATATGTAACTCACCCAGGTATTTTATTATTGACTTGTTCCTATCCAATTGAATATTGATCCAGTCTTGATTCTTTAGAACAGAATGCTTGTCATAGTGTCCACTGAATGCCATAATAGAAACTACAGAGTTCTAGAGATAAAATATTTACTGCTTTAATTTTATAAAACAAAAATCCTTTGAAAAGGGTACAATTTCATAATAATTTTAACTGTGTTGCCTGAATCACAAAGAATCTCATTAGGAGCGCCTAGGTGGCTCAATCAGTTCAGTGTCTAACTTCAGCTCAGATCATGATCTCACAGTTTGTGAGTTGGAGCCCCACGTTGGGCTCTGTGCTAACAGCTCAGAGCCTGGAGCCTGCTTTGAATTCTGTGTCTCCTATTCTCTCTGCCCCTCTCGTGCTCACACTGTGTCTCTCAAAAGTGAATTAACAGGGGTGCCTGAGTGGCTCAGTCGGTTAAGCACCCGACTTTGGCTCGGGTCATGATCTCATGGTTCGTGGGTTCGAGCCCTGCGTCGGGCTCTGCGCTGACCTCTCAGAGTCTGGAGCCTGCTTCTGATTCTGTGTCTCCCTCTCTCTGTCCCTCACTTGCTCATGCTCTGTGTCTGTCTCTCATAAAAGCAAAATAAACATTAAAAAAAGTGAATAAACATTAAAAAATTATTTTATTAACCAAAGAATCTCATTGATGTATATGTGTTTATATTTTGTTCAAATATGAAGCCCTTATTTTTTGATTAAGTTTTTATTTTAATTTCAGTGTAGTTAACAGTGTTTATTAGTTTCACGTGTACAATATAATTACTTAACAATTCCATACATCATCCATTGCTCATCATGACAACTGCACTCCTTAAACCCTATCACCTATTTCCCCATCCCTCAACCCACCTCCCTCTGGTAACCATCAGTTTGTGCTCTTTAGTTGAGAATCTCTTTCTTGGCTCCTCTCTATCTCTCCCCCTCTGTCTCTGCTTTTCCTTTGCTCATTTGTTTTGTTTCTCAAATTCCACATGTGAGTGAAATTATTTGGTATCTGTCTTTATCTGACTGACTTGTTTTGATTAACATTACACTCTCTAAATACTAAGCCCTTCTGTCTTGTTTTAGTTTACAGTGTGTATTAACATATTTTACAATACTAAAATCTCTCAGTTTAGGAAATTCAGGAAAACATTTTAATCTATATTTCTCCTATTAATAATATATAGTTTTTAATGTTTGATTTATTTTTGAGAGAGAGAGAGCGAGCTAGCAGGGGAGGGTTAGAGAAAGAGGGAGACACAGAATACGAAGACAGGCTCCAGGGCTCAAACCCACGAACCGTGAGATCATGACCCGAGCCGAAGTTGGACGCTTAACCGACTGAGCCACACAGGCGCCCCTCCTGTTAATAATATTTTATAGATATAAACAAAATTAATGTACTATGCAAAAGTAGACAACATGTGTCTCACGTTAATTTTTTCTAAGATTTGTGATGGGCTATTTAATTTTGTTTAGGTTGGTATCCAAGATGTTACCTCTGAGATGTAACCTCTGCTTATTGTTTAAAATTAATTGCATTGGCAATTTTTTAGATAATAAATATTAATGTAGCAAAAATGTACAACAGTGGACAACTAACTTTATTAAATATTCCACATGAAAATTATAGTTTGGACATATCAGTGTTATGTTAGTGTATTGTCCTCCTGGAATTGAAGCAGTTTGTCCTTTGCCAGGATAGTATGTAGGGTATAGAATATTTCCCCTGTGCAGTGTCAGTCATTAACAGAGGTAGAATGTTTTTGACATTCTAGGTGTTTTTATTCATTAAAATATATGCCATTAGCAGACCTTCCCATAGGTTAATTACATAGTTCCTTGTATCTATTTTGACTTTGAAACTGATAATTGCACTTTTAAAATCATTATAGAGTGTTGTAACTAAGGGATCTTGCAGAGCATATGAAATACATTTGTATTAAAAAAACCTATGTAGACAG